TATAGATTTAATATTAATACTATATAAGAATAATTGTTTGTTAAAATTACTTTAATGATTTTGTATTAATTGATGAAAAAAAATGTACACATAATTTAAAAGACAATGTATTGTCTTTCTTAACGGGGGAGGATTGTAATATACAGATAAATAACTACAGTGATGGAAAATTACGTATTGTTCGTTCACAGCGAACAAAGAATATTGTTATATGATAAATATGTTAGAAGAAAGTATCTTAACTAAATAGAGCGATTACAGCTTTGCTTGCTATTGATTAAATAATGAGTTATTATAAACTTTGGATATTTACCTAATGATCACTATGCTAACATATGTTTGTAATCTTATATAAGGACCTCCCACCCTTAAGAAATTCAGTTGTTGTTATTGTTGTTGTCCAGTTGCAGTTGCTCTACAATTACTGAGCTGTTCAGTAGCTATTATCATAGTGCTAATCTCTAGTCTAAGTCAATTTTATACTCTTTATTAAAACTTATAAATATTCTTCGGCGATCTTTTCTTCTGACGACCCGAACATTACAGTTGGTATGCTTGGCAGACAGGTTTTTTTTTTGGGAGAAAATGGTATGGTAACCCCGCCTGCGCTAACGGAATACGCTGGCGGAGCACCAGTGAAGGGTGATAGATGAGAATGAAAACAGGCCAGTTAGCCCATCATGATAAGTTCATCTTTTATGCAGGCACGGTTACCATTCCATTTTCACCAATAAAAAAAACCCGATTCTACATAAAAGTATCATTCTCTTGTAATTTTTCCTACAATATTAAAGGATTCGCAGGTCATATGTATTTTTTTAACAACTTAGAGCATTAAACTGCCAGTACAGCCTGTATACTAATAGCGCGGGCACAATCACCATTCCATTTTGACCTGTCAAAAATCCTCATGTGTCGCCATTTTACAGTGTTACGCCTTTGCCTTTCTACATTATAACAATACAGAACTAATTTTAAACTTTCGCGTCGTTTACACATATTTTAAATCTACGCGACGAAAAATGTTTGCAGGTAAAAAGCACTAATAGAATTATTGATCGCGTTAAAACCTAATAGTGTATTTCAAATACCTAATTAGATTCCAAAAATTTCGAATTTTATCGACCAGTTTATGTTGAACTAAAATCTATTTTTAAAGAATCTGGTACTAAGGTAAACAAACCTATTTCTGTTAAAACTACCACACACACAGTTTAGTTTCTACTTGTCTAAATCATTTACATCACCATTTTTTGCAATTATTTATCAGATTAAATAATAATTAAGAAATATAATAATAATATATTACTATTTTATTATTATAATAGTTTGTTTGGGTACCTCTGTCCCATTCATGTTTCAACCTTAAAGCAGTTGTGTTTGCATGGCTGTGTTTCGGTTTGAAGGGTGGGATATGGTGTGAATTTACAGGGTACAGAGGAATAATACCTGAGTCCTCAGGAATGGAAAAGCATGGGGGTATCATGGGCGAAACAGTATACTCTGTTATGTCCATGGTACTGCTCATGTCTATAGGCGTCGGTTACCGCTTTCCATCAGGTGGGCTGTCAGCTTGTTTGCCATTCTAAGTTGTATTAGCGTAGTTGTAGTAGCGAGGAGGTCGACCTGGTTGGGTATATTGCTAGCAATGGGATTCTTAGTCTCCATTACTAATCGCTTTCCCCCCACAGGTGTATGTTTCATCTTGATACTCCAGCTAAAGATTCCCTATTTCTAAAATCCATATGTAGTAGCAGAAAAAATGCTGGTGGTAAATAAAATACTTTAAATAATACATTCACTTTAGTTCATTGGTTAAAACACCTACAGTAGTGTTGCCATATCTCTTTGTATTGTATGAAAAATATCTTTCAGTTCATTTAATTGAAATTTTAATAGATATGAAAAGGAGAGTACTTTTTAATGGGAAATGAAATGGTAACCTTCATGCACTATCTGTATCTGCTGATGGTATACAAGTGAATGATGGTAGACAATAAATTCACCAGGAATCTAGATAATATCTAGGAGGGTCACACTGAGCAAACGCGAAACAACAATTTTTTAATAGACAATTACATAAAAAATATATATATATATATATATATATATATATATTTTAGTAGTTTATAGTCTTCATTAATTGCATTATTTTAGAAATTTTTTTATAAAATTATTCAACTTGTTCCACCATAATTTTAGAAACTAATTAGTAAATCAATTTTTTTTTTCAATAATCTTCTTTTGTAACAGTCTTGTAAAACTTATTATAAAATTTAACAGATTTGAAATAAGACTTCATTAAAACAAATAAAATTATTAATATTATTACACAACACTAGATGCCCGATAATGATGTTTATGCTAACCCTTACAAATATTATAAATATAAAAGTTTGTTTGTTTGTTTGTCACCTCGTAACACCTTAACAGTTTTATCACTTTGAAATTGTGTATACACATAATTTATGAGATGGAGAAGGATATAGGCAGGTAAAAGCTACTAATATATTAATAAAAATCATATTATTTATTTACCCCTGCACATTGAAACAGAATATAGTCTATAGAAATTGTCTATAAACCCATAGACAAAAACTGAACACACTTGGAGGAAGTACATTGCTGATAATAGACTGTTAACTCAATAGCCTGCAATATATAACCTCCACATGGTCCTATCTGAAAACCATTGTAGTTAATTCCTGGTGAACTCATCACAATGATCTATAGTCATTGACTGGTACCTCTCTAGCATAAACTAAAAGCATGACCACAGTTGACATTGACAGTCAAAATAAATTCATTTCATTTCATTTCACAGTCCATTTTCATAAATAAAAAAATATATATGTAACAATTTTTTTTTTATCCAGATTGTAATGTAAAACACAAATATACAAAGCCATACAGCATCTCTTATATCTTGATGTGTATCTAACAAATTCAAATTATCATAAACTTTATTATTTTTGCTAATTGCAACAATGAGCTTTTAATACACTGAATTAGCAAATATATATTTGAAATAATTTATGGATTCTTTCTTAATAAATCTATTTAATTAAATAAAATAAGTGTTGATAAAAAAAGAATTAGCTATCCAAATGTTAAACATTGGCAAACTTATTTAAGTTTAGACATCAACTCAACTTCTTAAAATGATTGTACAATTTCCTGAACAAAATGCAAATAAATAATAATAATGTTTCATATAAATTAAATTAATCCAGTTAATACCAAAAACTTTGTTGTAATTTCCTTATAACGTAAAATTTTTAATTTATATGTCAGGAAAAAGCTAAGTGCATCATGATATTTCCCAAAAAAAAATATATGACATCAATTCACTATAAGCTATTTATTGTTGGAACAAAAGAAAAAACAACGACCATTTCCTGACGATCATAATTAAAAAAAAAAACTTATTGGAATCTTTTAGGCAAAGGAAACAAAAAGTGGCCGTCCTGGTTAATGACCACAAAAAGCATACGTAAAAAGTAATTAGGATCGATCGTGCAGTGATAACATGCAAAATAACTGCTAAAAATGCTAATAGGACTCACCATAACGTGTACAAGCTGATGTGAGTTCCAGGGCTGCGTTCACGGATATCGAAGAGTGCCGAGATTCTTGGTGTACGTTGAGGCAGCGTGAGGAGCCGCCAGCGTAATAATCACCTCACATCACCTGTTGGCGGTTTCGCAAATTATTTTGTTTACAGCCAATAGACGGCGATACTTAAAAGCGAATCAATTGATATTGAAAGAACACGAAACAACGACAAGCATTGACATGACTGACTGACAAAGTGATGAATTTTAGAATCGCAGTGTGTTCAACGAATTGGCAGATGACGTTGACAGATACGTTCCGTTCCATCAATGTTCATAAATTGTTATTATTTACAGTAAAAATTTTTCCAACCAACCAAGTTTAATTTATACGTATTTAGTAAAAATGTATTAATTATGATTATAATTTATTTATCTAGTTAAATAAATTACGTTTTAAGAAGTAACATTGACGAATTTAGTAGTTTAGCAGCTTAATACACGACTTTACCTCCTAATAGTCGCAAGTTCTATCTCCGCTCAATATGTACATTGGTCTCTATGAATATATCTGTGTATTTGATGTTTCTTATATATAATATTTACGTATTTACATAAAAAAAATATTTATGGTTTAGTATAAATAAATAAATATATATATATATATATATATATATATATATATATATATATATATATATATATATATATATATATATATATATATATATATATGTCTATCAGTTGTCCGGTTGTATAGTAAAATTCTATTCTTAGTTTGAGGCTAGAAATAATTCGGAGGTGTTCTAAATCTATACAATTATGTATCTTAATACATTTGATAGTAAATAGAATTACATGATTATGTTTATTTATTTCCAATGTATTATAATTATAAACATAAATTGAAAGGTGCAAGAATGATAATATAAGTGTTAATAATTGAAGTGTGTTTTAATAATCCTTATACAAGTATTACATTATTTATATTATGCAGAAATTATTGAAAGAAAAAGGGTGTGGTAAGTTGTTATACCAACACAGTTGTCAAAGATCTGGATACAAACACATACCTACCACATACACGTTCCCTTTAATTCTTTTGCATTCGGACAAAAAAGCATGAAAAAAATTGATTACCAGAACAACTTATTGTTTAATTTGAAAATCGAACCTTTCTCATTACAATGAAGCATTTAAACCAGAACAAGTGGTTCCTACTCTAATATAATCAGGAGCCTGTTCCATCTTTAAAATCATTATCGCCCGATAAACGTGTCGTTAACCAATGCAGGGTTACAGGCCAGAAAATTGTATTAGGGCGAAACGCACACGCGCTGGTGAACACTGATTGGAAACAGAATGGCATTTGTTATCGCCCCGAGACAGATGCGGCTGCGCTGTGCTATCCTATAAACTGCTTAGTTCATTTTCCCAGACGTTCCGCGTGCGTGAACTGTTCCACAGTGTTTAAATCGGGATATGTGAGAATGAAGGAAGGTGAAGCGTCAACTAACGGGGCTCTGGCCTTCGCTTTGATCTATTTCACGTTCTTTCTGGATAATGTGCTGCTTACAGTTGTAGGTAAGTTTTGTTCATGCTTGAGCCCTTACAAATCAGCCACGGAGCATCAATTAAAGTGATATCTTGAACATCTCTTTACTTAATTTTCATATTCGTCTCATGGTTTCATGGTTCCGGAGACGTCTCTTTCAGATAGAACATGATGTATTTTTACCTAATGATGGTTGATCAGTTTGAATTTTCCTCGGTATTTATTTACAAGTGCAAGTTATTGCTTCTGAGTGTTCTTGCTGGACAATGGTTAACTGGTCACAGGAGTGCCGTGTGTTTACCTCTGGTGATTTATTATAAAATTTGAAATGGCTAAACGAGCTGATGGCTCACCTGATGGAAAGTAGTCATTGTTGCTTATAGTCATGAATAGCACTATAGATCCCACAGAATACAGCGTGACAGCTGAGCCTGCGATCGTACTCCCATAAAGCCCCTGTCTATCGAAAAGGGAGGAAATGGATTACTAAAACAATGGTAATCATTATGATGTTATGACTGCTACTTTTTTATGGTTGGTAATGGAATGGTACTCCCGCCCGCACTATCGGTATACGCTGGCACCAGTGATCTGCTTTCATCCTGTCACTGGTGCCAGATGAAAGGTGAGGATTAAAGCAGAGCCCATCGTGACGAATTCTACAATAATTAACCACGATGGTTTCCAGGAGGAATCGCGTGAAGGTCGACCTGACAGGGTATATTGCTAGTAATGGAGCTGTTAGTCCCCATTACTAATAATTCCTTCCCCCCAATGACTGCTACTATGATATTATTTTACAGCAGGGCACGTATCATTTGTTGCAGTTCCTATAATACCGGACTGGGTGCGCGGTGAGTCGTTGGAGCTGTGGACCACACACGACGCGCCTCTTGCTGTACTGCTGAACAGTACCGTACATAACATCAACACAGAAGATACTCAAGGTGGGTATGGTAAAAATTGTGATCAGGGGCGACCACAGCTTTACCTACATTTCTGAATATACCTAGTTATTTTTCTAGAAAAAAAATTACTTTTTGACATAAAGACAGATCTTTTTTACACTTTTTAGGTAAGTTGTATGAGAGGAACATAGTTATGTATTAAGACCTAGGCAAAATCAGAAAGAATTTGCTGTATGGTATAGAATCTACCAGGTCTTTCTTCCTTTCCCATGGGTGTCGTTGGAAGCTACTGAGAAGTTACTACAATTTATTAGTCGAGGGATGGGCAGATCAGTATGCTTCTTAAAATATCACTAAAAACCAAACTGCGGTTGCCAACTCAAAGCCAAGCGTGACAACTATTGGCAAAATCCCCCCAATGGTAAACTGCCATAAGGAGCAGCCCTGTTTCTTATGAGAGTCTTAGAAGACCTATGTTTAGCAGTGGACAGAAAACCACTGATATGGTGATGAAGACGGTACATTTTACGGGATTGTATCAGTATTTCTGAATTAGTTACAACAATTCCTTTCTAGTTTATGGAATTTACCCCTATGTTGATCTCCTATTAATTTTATGAGGACTACAGCTGATATTTTTCTAAGAAAAAACTCCTTGATATGAAACATAAGCAAAAAGCCTTTTTTTTTTATATCACCGAGGTGGCAAACAAGCATTCGGCGTACCTGATGGTAAGCAGTTACCATAGCCTATCAAAACCTGCAATATCGAGGTCATTACATGCTCTTTGCCGACCTTGAAGAAAGCTATGTACCTCTTTTGAAGAACCACATGTTGTAGTCTCTTGTAAAAACAAATTTTAATTATTTCTCTTTATAACTACGTAGCTATAGATCTATACAGGGTGTAAGGCAAGTTAGCAAAAATAGAAACAGTGAATTCAGACCATTCAGAACTGAAAAGCGGTAGAAATACTTTCCGGAAATTTTCAAATTTTTCCTGTTATTTTTTTTCCATTTAAAATCATGTAATCTATGATATTATGTCACAATATAATGAAATAGTAATAATTTATTGTAAAATACTATAAAATACCAAAACACAGCAATGTAATATTTGTATTACAATCTTACCGCGACGCACGAAATCAGCTGTAAAGTCAACGCCATAAGCGTAGGAAAACTACCTATGAAGAAGCGCCATTGACTATACGCGTTGTAGGTATCACGCGCCATGTGTATCGCAAAATTTCAAATACATTGCGCGGCATCAAAACTAACATTCGTTAATTATATGATTGTTGTGCATTTCCGGTGAGAAAATAATCTGCCATCTGACTCAGACCATTCGTCTGAATCTGCTGTTTTCGTTTTGGCCAACCTGTCCCTTCCACCCTGTATATTGATGACTTGAACGGCATCACGACAGGTATAGGGGGATCCCAAGCAGTAGTAGGACTAGTGCTGGGTGCTAAAGCAGCATCACAACTTGTGACGGCCCCTTTTGCTGGAGTAGCGGTCTGCAAACATGGCCCCGCTAAGGTACTCCGCGCTGGTACCTTAGTGTTGGCCGGTGCTGCCACCGGTATGTAATAAATAAATGTACTAATAAATGTATGTTATGCAGCAATAAAGAAAACTTCTGAAAGCCATTTGAGATCGTCACTCCATCTACGGTGTGTTCCAGTACGTATTTCTCCTCAAAACAAGAGGTCAACTGATCTAACCTCATCCTTACCGGGGGAAAGGGATTTTTTTATTGGGTGAAGATGGAATGGTAACCCCGCCTGCGCTATCGGTATACGCTGGCGGAGTACCAGTGAAGGGTGACAGGTGAGGATGAAGGCAGGTCAGTTGGCTCATAGTGACCAATTGAACAAGAATTAACCACTATGGTTTCCAGGGGGAACCGTGTGGAGGTCGACATGATAGAGTGTATTGCTAGCAATAGGCCTGTTATATCTCATTGTTAGCTATGGGGTTTGTGAGGAGTCAGGTAGTGGTGTGGTGTGGTGTGGTGTGGTCGCAGTGTTCATGGCATGCAGCCGGCGGGCGGGCGCGGCGGGCGCGGCGGGCGCGTGGTGCGCGTGCGCAGGTCGCGCGGCGCACGGCGCGGGCGCGGCGCTGGCCGGCGTGGCGGGGCTGGCGCTGGCCGCCGCCGCCCTGCCCGCGCACCAGCGCCACCGGGCCATCGGCCTCCTACTCGGGGCTGTTGCTTTAGGTAACTTTTGAAAACCACTGGATTACGCGGCCGAGATCTACTCCCAAACCAAGCAGATCTTGTACTATGATCCGTAGTATTCTAGGACTATGACGATATGTAAGTATTTGTAAGTGTAAATGTTAATATTGTGCAGTAGTCAAAGGAAAATGAGGCAATGTGCAAAACCGCTAAACCTCCAAAGTAGGTTATAATTGAACTCTAGAACCTAAGGGTAGAATGATTGTTATGGTCACAGGGCCAGTAATGTATTCTCTCAGGTCTTTCTATACCTACGCAGTCCGCCTTGGAAAATTCTTAGTTAAAAAATTCATTTAACTTGTCATTAAAAGTATCAATATCTGGCTGCTGAGTGATCAGGGAATTGAACAAAGAAATAGCCTGTTAAGTGGGAGCAAACTGAGCAGTATAGATAGAGCAGTGCCGATAGTAATCGACAAGCACGCAATCGTATGCAGCATTGGAGCGCGTACAAAGAACAACGGCTGAGAGTTGCGGAATTGTCTATTCTGCTATTTATCTATTTTTATATTAGATAATAGTGACTGTATAATATTTATGTGTAAGGAATTTTTTACTTATATATATATTTGTTTATATTATATATGTGATTTTAGTATGTATGTATATCAATAATTACTAGTACCGCATTCGAGTATTCTGACACTTCCCTACGGTTGACTGGGAGAGAATGCTTTTAGCATTAAGTCCGCCATGCACACATACATATGTTAATGAATAAATGAAATTTATACTATCCTAATTTTAAAATAAGTAGGTAATATTTAACAGCACTTAATCTTATTGAGAAAGTTTATAACGACCGATGGATGGATGTCTGTTGTTCTTCCATACAAAACTACGAAACGAATTTAAATGAAATTTGATACACGGATACAGTAAACTTAGCACCGGATATTTTATGTACTTACTGGATCACGTGGAAGAAGCTGAGAGATTTAGGTAGTTAATTTATAAATGTTTAAAACATCTTTGTCATACAGGAGTGTTAATTGGCTACCCATTTGGCGGTGCAGCGTATGCACTCTGGAGTCGCGGAGCCCCATTCCTGCTATTATCTGCTGCATTACTTGCTGATCTTCGTAAGTATATACCTATATTTATATCTTCTTCTTGACGGTGCAACTAATTTATGCATTCTCTTCTAGTCAACTTTATCCTAGACCATATTTTTGACCTCCCTTTATGACATGACACATTTTTTCCTTTATCTGTCCCATGTAGTTATTTCTCGATCTCTCCTTCCTCTTTTACCTTCTATTTTTCTTTCCAATACGTCTTTAAAAATCGTCATGTCGTATAAGGTGTCCCAGAATTTTACGTCTACTATTTTCTATAAATTATATATATAAATATATATAAATATTATATAAATATTATATATAAATTATATATATAATATTTATATATATATATATATATATATATATATATATATATATATATATATATATATATATATATATATATATATATATATATATATATATATATATATATAAATTATATTAATGGTGATGAAATATAGCTCTTAATAAATGGTATAATAATATAAATGACTTAATAAATTAGTATATCTATCACAAAATGTTGATTAATATGCAGAATAGAATAGAAGAGAATAAATGTTTACTGTGAGCTGTACATTATAAGATGTTATTATATTATTTTGGCATTATTATATAATATTATTATGGCAGTGAATTTACTGGGTACAGAGGAATAACATCTGAGTCCTCAGGAATGGTAACGCATGGGGGGTATCATGGGCGAAACAGTATATTCTGTTATGTCCATAGTACTGCTCATGTCTATAGGCGACGGTTATCAGTTTCCATCAGGTGGGCCGACAACTTGCTTACAAAGTTACATAGTTGCATAAAAAAATTAACGTCTTAAAGGGAATTTACATAATCTACCCATACAACGGACATACAATACAATTAGCTACATAACATTAATTTTATTTTACAGTTATACAATGAAGTCGTCATTAAAGTTTAAAACAGATTAAAATACAACAATCAACAATAATAAATTCCCACATGGTCACAATTACAATATACTAATGATTATTTTATATATTAATTAAATTATTTATAATGTAAATATAAAAAAAGTCAAGAACCAAAGAAAAAAATCATTAAAATTGCAAAAAGTAATATCAAGTAACCTTTTTTTTTTTTTAAATTTTAAATTTAGTATATTTTTAGGTTATTTGGCAAATGACTATAAATTTTAATAGCCATTATGTAAGTTTTTTCGTTTGTTTCATATTAAGTTAGTTTGCGGTAAATATAGATGTTTGCGGTAAATAAATATAGATGCAGAGTAATCTGTATCATTTATTAACAAAATAAGACCATAAATAAGTTGTCTGTTTGTGTACCTTTCTTCCATTCGTATTCTGCCATAAAGAATTTTTGCATAGCAACACATGGACACCATGATCTCTTCTTTGATGTCCATGACGCTTTTCATGTAGGTATATTGGCTCGTTTCATAAATTTGTCACTTAAAATTGCATAAATCAAATTTAATATTCGTTAAATTTCGAATACTAAATTAACTCGAAATACCCATCAATGTTTCATGTAATAACATGAAAAACCCATCTTGTTTCAGTCATGCAATATGTGTTTTTGGATAAAGAAGAGTTCAATCAAGTATGTACGGTGGTCTACTTTGAATTTAACTTGGTAATCTTCAACCTGCTGCTATAACATAATTTGTTTCAATTTCCTTAGATTTCCACAGAGCGTAGTGATTCCACCAAGAATGAACTATGGGGCGCGCTTAGAGTAGCGAAGCGCGAGTCGACAGGCGCTTGCGTTGGAGCTATACTGCTCACCACCAGCGTCATGGCATCATTGGAACCTTGCCTTCCTCTTTGGATTATGAAAAAGTTTCATCCGCAGGTTTTATTTAATAAATATGTAGTCAAAGAAAGAAAAAAGAAATATTTTTATTAGAATAAACTTAAATTTTTGTGGTCCCGGCATAGAGTGGGCCGGCGTAGGTGGTTTTAATTCTTAATTTCGAATGATATTACAGTGAAATTATTATCTTCATGTGATACGGGTCAATAACTCAGATATTACAAGCATTCCTGAACTGCGCTACTTACTGATCGAAAATATACTTTTTTTTCTGCAACTTAGAATGGTAAACAAGCTGACGGCCTACCTAATGGAAAGTGGTAACCGTCGCCAAAAGACATGAGCAGTACTGTGGATATAATAGAGTATACTGTTTCGCAAATTTAACCCCCCTCCCCCCATTCCTAAGGACTCAGGTGTTATTACTCTTCTTCTTCTTTTCATTTAAGAGTTTCCTCGTGTCGGTGCAACTTATTCATGCATCTTCTTCCAGCCAGCTCTATCCCAGGCCATATCCTTAACCTCCCTATACGACATGACACCTAGTTATTACTCTGTACTCTGTAAATTCACTGCCATATCCCACCCTTCAAACCGAAACACAGTCATGCAAACACAACTGTTTCACGGTAGAAACACGAATTGGACAGAGGTACCCAAGCAAACGACTCTTGTACATAGTCTCTCTTTGGTAAAAATATTGGTTTGGTATTTAATTGTGTTACTGTATAAATTGCAAGTACATAACCAGTATATGGTTTGCAGCGCTGGCAAACAGGAGCGGTGTTCATCCCTGACAGCGTGGGCTACCTGTTGGCCGCCAGCTGCCTGGGCGGCGTGGCGCGACGGCTGGGCGCCGAGCGCGTCGCCATCACGGGGCAGGTCGCGGTGGGGCTGGCCGCGCTCGCCGTGCCGCATGCTACATCTGTAATTTCTGTTATTTCCGTGCATTTATAGATGAAAATAAAATGGTACTAGTGGTTACTGTAACCTGTATGTAGAAAATCAAATCAGATGCGTGCATGCGAGTGCGTGTGCGTGTGTGTGCATGCGAGTACGTGTGCGTGTGCGTGATTACATGCGAGTGCGTGTGCGTGTGTGTGAGCATGTGCGTGTGTGTGTGCGTGTGTGTGCATGTGTGTGTGCGTGTGTGTGAGTGTGTGAGCCGTGTGTGTGCGGCATGTGTCGCGGCTGGCGCTGCCGCACGCGGCGCTGGGCGGCGGGCTGTGTGTGTGAGTGTGTGAGCCGTGTGTATGAGTGTATGAGCCATGTGTGTGCGGCATGTGTCGCGGCTGGCGCTGCCGCACGCGGCGCTGGGCGGCGGGCTGTGTGTGTGAGAGTGTGAGTCATGTGTACGACAGGTGTCGCGGCTGGCACTGCCGCACGCGGCGCTGGGCGGCGGGCTGGGCGCCACGGACGCGGCGCTGGTGGCGGCGCTGCTGGCGCGGCACACGCGCCGCCTGCCGCACCTGGCCGCCCTGCTGCAGGCCACCTCCAGCGTCGCCTATGCACTCGGTACTTGTTCACTTTACTTATTCATTTAACCGCCTTTGGGATTGTAGCGCAATTTGAAAGAACTACAAGATGAGATGCTTGGTAAGGCCAAGAAAGAAAACCGACTTTCAAATTGACTAAAGTGTGAATAATCCAAATCCTCTCGCCAGATGTCTGATTTCTCATAACAGAATATTTTAGCTCAATGACTAGAATGTGATATTAGCTGTACTTTTGGTCTTATAAATTTGGTTATAAAGGTAACAATATCAAACCCAAATATCTTCACTATCGTTCATCTTTGTAAATTCATATCAAGCCACTTACACATGGAGTCTCTTACAAAATAGGTAAAGAGAATCAACTTCTAAACACTTAAATTTAAACTTACTGAGGGAGCAATCTCCCTTTCTCATTCAATAGTCGCCATATCGCCCACATTAAACCGCGAGAATAGGACTTCTTTCTGATGGAACTTTGAATTTGGAAAAACCTATATAGATTATGGAGTTTAGGCGGTTTCCCATCCTCCTCCTGAAATGATTTTGTACTAATTCTCAAGATTATGTTACTGAAATGAT